CATTAAACTTTTCAAAAAGAGAAGAGTGATAATCATCCTTTCGTTTCTTGGATTGATCATAGGCTAAACGCTCTTCCTTAGTCCAATTGAATTGATCTAACTCATTATAAGCTTTACCAATAATGACATCTCTACCTATGATCTTCTTTAAATCCTCCTCTTTAGTCTCATTAGCATACTTTAAAAAATAGATCCATTTTTCTACAATATTTTCCAGCTGATCTTCCTTAGTTTTAGGAAATTTAGGCAACTCTATAAAAGTAAAACTAAAATCTTTTAGATCATGCTCATAGGAAGCATTATCAAGAGTAATATGATCAGACTTATATGCTTGCTTGTCAGGAAATAAAATAAAATCAGTGATTGCAATAAAAACCACACCCTTAAGATTATGATATTTGTCACCAATATTAGCCTGAGAGAAGTATGCTTTAGCAGCGTAAAATTGAGCTCGCTTTTCAAAGCCAGTAGTTTTAGCAACCTGCATTTCTACTATTGTTTGGATGCCTCTAGAATCAGTGCACAGAACATCAACAATACTCTGTTTTTGAGAAGCAATAACAGGATCTTGTATAGGGCTTGTAAAGGTAACATCTGTAATGTGATTGCTATCTGTAAGATTTAGTATATCATTAATAAAATGAATGAGAATATCTTTGTTATTAACAGAACCAAAAATGCGGCGAAACGCAAAATCGTTCTTTGGATCCAAAAACTTTGAAATAGCCATAATCAAGAAGTCTAAAACTACTAATATTATACATTATTGTTGAGAAATATTCAATAGACCTCTTTCGCAACTGATGGCATTTTGTTTCTCCTCAACTGCGGTGCTCTTACCATAAATCGGGTTCGAAAGAGGTCTAGTGATCTCTTTTTAATGACTCTAGTATCAATTTTGCAGTTTTTGCCGGATCGATACTTTTTGTAATAGGCCTACCAAGTACAAGATAATCAGCCCCTAAAGCAATTGCTTCTCTTGGTGTTGTTATTCTCTTTTGATCATTATTACTAGAATTTATGCGAATTCCTGGGGTGATAATGTTAAAATCTTTACCGCATTCTTGACGTACTTCTTGTGCTTCTAATGCAGAACAAACTATTCCTTGTAAACCAGATTCTTTTGCAAGTTTTGCAAGTAGAACCACTTGTGATGTCACTTCTTTTTCTATTCCACATTCATGCAAATCCTTATTGTCCATGCTGGTTAACACGGTTACTCCAATCAATTTCATCTTTGTACCTTGTGCTGCATTTAGTGCTTCTTTGAGCATTTTTATACCACCAGTGATGTGTAGTGTTAACATTGCAATATTAAGATCTTTTGTTACTGCAACTGTTCTAGCTACAGTGTTGGGAATATCATGTAGTTTTATGTCTAAAAAAATTGGAATATCGCATTTTGTAATTTCTCTTACTCCAAAGAGACCATGAGCAGCAAAAAATTCTAACCCTAGCTTTATCATACCTACTTTACCACGTAAAACATTAGCTAAAGATATAGCCTTATTTAGATTTTGTGTATCTATTGCGCATATTATAGGATTCACTACAGACATAATTAGCCTCTCTTTTTGAATAGAACAGAAAGGGTAGGGGCCCCCCACTGTGTAAATAACATCATTCTCACAATTAAAACTGTTCTCATTTTCGTATGA